CAAGTGTGGAGCAGTGCTTTTGGGACAACACATCTGGGGACACAGGCACTGCAGCCCTGGTGGCCCAGACAAGCCTTGCTCAGGTCTTGTTTCAATCATTTCCTGCACAGAGAAGTCCTGCATCTCTCAGAATATATATTTTGGTGCATAGGCCACCAAATTCAGATACTTTAAAATTTCAGGTCATCAGGGCTTGGTTGATGTTCTTATCAACTGAGAAAATGCCAGCAAAATTCATATTCAGGTCTGGATTTTGTAGTCCAGAACAGAGCTCTGCCTGCTGGGGCTTACTCCACAACCTCCTGATCAGCTTCCTTAAGCATCCACAGTATATATGAATGTAAAAAAAAATATTTATATATGCCTCTCTCCAACAGTGCTTTTAGGGGCGGCAGCTGTAGGTACTGAGGGTTATATAACTCAGATCCTCTGACAAAGACACATTTGGTTGAACTTTAAACAAGGGACCTTTAGAAATCTGTAAAATTTTAACCATCAGTGTGTAACAGCTTCTAGGACGTTTCCCACCTTGTAACATTTAAAACAATGATTCATCGCCATAAGAAATATGTAACTGTCTGAAACTATCTCTCAAATAATGTTAATTACCTGCATGGTCTGTGTTTCTGCATATGCAGTTTCCAGCTACCAAGACTGGACATTATGAAAGCTTTTACATGACATCAGCTTTCCAGTGACCAGCCAGTTATAAAATACAAAATTTTTAATCTGCATTTGATTGTCACAGCTTAAAAATCACAGATTTTATGAGAGCTACAAATCATTTTTAGACTGTGCAGTGTGGACTAAACGCCAAGGTTTTTTGTTTTGGCTTGCTGATATTTCCTGAAAACATGAAACAATTCTGAAAGGACAGATTTCCTGGCTCACAGCTAAAGGTCAGCAGTCACACAGGGACTGCTTGCTAAGTGCACCAAAAGGAAAGATTGGCGCAACATTGCAGTATTATTAAAAAGTGATTTAAGTGGGGGAAAAGGGAGAAAACAGAGAGACAGACAAAGATTATACTCTCACAACTGAGGTTTCACAAAGATTAGAAAAACAGCCTTGTTCCTTGCTACTTGCAGCCCCTCACTGTCACTCCAAGCACTGCTTGGTCTTGTTCCCTCTTTACCCTTGGAAAGGGACTGCTTTAACCAGGCACCACAAATCATTTCTAGAGCCTTTCCTGAACAGCCCAGAAGTTTTTCCAGACTCATTGTTGCAACAGATTATGGAAGTACAAGTTTAATTTGTACTGGGAAGGACAGGAGTTCAGAATTCTCATGATTGTGAGCAACACTGACATTCAGTTGTGTGATATGCAAAAAAAAAGCTTGTTTTCCACAGCAATCTCCCCTGGACCTGAGCAATGTTTGTAACTCTCTCCCAGTACAACTGAAGAGCCAGTCCTGTTCTGCAGCTGTCAGAGGGGGCACAGCCAGCTCACATCTGTATTCTGAACCACTGTGTGGACAAAGCTCCTTGTCAGTGTATTTAATTTTGTAATAATAGATACTGAAATTTCCCCAATCACTGACAAGATAACAGTTTGAAAAGAAGCACACTCTGCAATCAGTGCTGGAAGCACCTTTAAAACAGTATGTAGCACCAGTCTCAACAGAGGCTGTATCCCAGCTCCCTTTAAGACCGCCAGCTTCTTTTTATTTTTATTATTCATGTTTTTCTTTCTAAGTATAGGCTATATACAATTTTTCAGGCAAATAAATGCCAACCAAAACCAACCTAGCAGCCTCAAGTAGGTCTCTGCAACAGGCCCTGCTCCCAGGTAACTACATTTCCCTCCCTGTCTGACCAAGAGCCCTGGGCCTTCAGAATTAACAAAGAATTTGTGCCTTTAATCCTGATAATGAAATACCTATACTCTGACCACAACATCCTCCCTAGCACTGAGTTATCAAAAGCATATGCTCCCATCACACATTCTTCTGGCTCTTTTCTTTTTTTTTTTTTTAATTAAAACCAATTGGTTGTAGAGCAAAATGCTACCTTTTCTATTAAAAGGTTAAACAGCAAGTCTATGACCACATGTATAGCTTGCAACTTATGTCTCCAAATTCTGCTAACTACAGTAACATAGAGCAAAACAACAAATGTGCTGGTAAGCAGCTAAGCAATATCATAGGCTGTTTAAATTTAGCCCTGGCAGATCCTGGAGGAAGGGCATCTCCAGCCATGTGTCCTCTGCTGTGCAGAGAGAGCACTCAGACCGTAGGATCCAATTCTACACACCTCACTTTTGAATATATGGCTACACCTATTGCATGTCACACGAGCATTTTCTCTAAAAGTACTTTGTATGAGATAAAGGGCAGTCAGCTCTTGGATACAAAATGTTTGCCCCAAAAGCAGCCTGGGAGACTGAAACAATAGACTCTGTAATTCCTTGCAACACCACAAAGCTGCAGCTCAGAGCAGAGGCGTGCTGACAATTTAGGGCTTTACAGACCACAACCTGCAAGGATGAATTACTCTCCAAAGCAAAATGTTGACCACAAGCATGGAGAACATTACTTCAGAGGCAGATTGCTGTAGCCTTGCTATTTTCTATCTGGAGCTTGGGGAATTTACAAGTAGAGACTATTGCCATGATCAGCAGTAAGAGTACAGGCACAAGATTTGCTGTGATGAATCTAAAAATAAGACAGCTCCAGGCCTGAAGTTCAGTGTGCCACACCTGCTAGCAGAGAATACATGAATAATCTGATCTCCAGGCTACAGATACTTTGAGAAAGGGTTGGACATCCCCATCCAGTGGAGCCTCTCTGCCTCCTCCTAAGGCCAAATCAAATCACTAATGTGAGGACAAGCTGTGCATCGATAGCTCTGAAACCCCAGAAGCTGCACTCCAAGCTGCCACTGAGGAAATCCAACAAAATCAGGCATGCGGTGCCAGCAAGACTAGAGCTCATCCATTTGACATAAGAAAGCTCCGTTATTGAACAGCTCTAAGCAGCACTACCTGCAAAAAGTCTTGTTAACTGTGAGATTAATAACATTTCTTGGAAGCTAGGGCAGTTTCTGTGGCATTGTTTCAGGAGCTGAGGTGATCCCATTACCCCATCACCAGAAGTCCCTCAATTTCAAACCATTTATGCAGTAGCTAAAGAAAAATTAATAGTACTATTTAAAGGTAAAGTCATGCTTGAAACGGAGACACAATATGATGATTTTTTTAATCACGTCTTGCATAAATTATGAACTCTGTATTGATTACAAGGGTAGTTAAGCACATGAAAAGGGTATAATGGGAGCAGGAGACATCTTCCTGGCCTGTGGGCTCAAGTGAGGTTGTTTCCACTACAGAACACCAATGATCTCTGCATTATGGTCTGTAAAAGTAATACTTGGCTTATTGAACATCTACTTTGTTTGATACTTAAAAGAAACTTGCGCATGCACCACAGAAATAAAGCTCTATCTTTGTAAAATTCTGGGGAACAAAACCAAAATAAAATAAAATACTGGGGAATAAAACCAAATGTCTCTAACTGACAACACAAGCATCCCCCTTTTATATACTTTGTTTTGCTTACTGTTTCTCTTACTGCTGTTATTATTATTAATAATCCACCAAAACATCACACTTAGATTAAACCAGTTCTTTACTAGGAAATTTCTGCTTATTAGTATAATCCTCAAAACTTCCATCAAATTTTGCACTCTCTTACATGACAGATGCAGAACTCTGCTCTTTGGAGTGGCTGTGGTGAAAATAAAGAGCAGATACAGCAGCCAGTGCTCTGGCAGGGAGTGGAGAGAGAGGCACTAACCCCTGTGAAGGGCTAGATTTCAGAGGCTGGGGATTGTGCTCAGCAGCAGCTATGCCAGGTCCCATTCAGACATCAGTCTGAGCAACCACCATTGTCAGGCTCTTTTAAAAATCCTGATTGTCACCTTTTAAAGCAGGTGAAAATCAATTAATTTTGAGCTTATAAAGGAATGCCTTTGCTGTGGCCAACCTTGGCCACACACACAATGCCTTTTGCAGAGATGCACTGCCTTTTCTTCCTATTTAGTGTAAAAGCACTTCATCTTGGTTATAAGCCTGAAGGTCAGGCTTATTTCTTTAGCTCTATTATTTACTACTTGAATTTCCAGTTCCACCTTTCTGGCTATTACAGCTTCTTTCCCCGACTCCTTTTCATGGTAAATCCGTGATGATGACTGTTGATAAAGTTAGGAGGGCCATGATTCTAAGTGTCTGACCTTCTTCAAAATCTGATAATGGATACAGTTTCTGAATCACAGGTCATCTCAATTTTGTCAGTAAACCATTTATTTACAGTGGCCTTCAGACCTCCAGGCTTACTGTGCACTGCAAAATGGATTTTTCAGGGAACAATAAAAGTAGGAGAGCCATCCTTAGCCTTTGCTTAGGTTAGGAGGGATACTGGACTTCGGAGAGAATGTTTGTCCACAACATCTTATGCACTACAGTCTCTAAGAGCTTTCCTGCTCTGTAACATTTCCTGATGTTTGTGTGAAACTGACAATTGTAAGCATCCAATATGAACTAACCTCCTTTTCACTTGCAATCTACATGGAAAGGGCAAAAAAAAATCCATGTCTCCTTAAACTCTTCCCACCTACTGAGGGCTATCCAGTCACCTTTGCAGTATTGTTCAACTTACAGTTCAGGGCACAGTGCCAGGTTTTACATCATGCCTCAAATGCAACTCCACTGTGGTAGGAGCTGATTACAGCATGCCTGTCACAGCTGTGTCAGTGCCAAGGGACACCAGTGTCTGCCAGCCTCCTCCAGTGGCTGCTCTGAAATGGAGATCTCAAAATGCCTTGGTCTTACAGAAACACTGCCAGAAGTACAATTCCTACAACTCCAGCAGCTCAATACTTCATGCAAACTGTTGAGTGAGATGCAGAGAAAAGCGTGTCAAACACCAACTCCTGGCTCCAACAGTGCCTGGAAAACTGAGCAGTGACTGGATCCTGAGCAGAGGGAAGCAGGTTTTACTTACTGTCAAAGCTTCTGTGCTGTGCTGTTAGGATGGCCTGCACAGAGCGACCAGCCTCTTTCATCATGGCTTCAAATTCACTTCGGCTTTTGTTTGCAAAGTTCTCCTCCATCTCGCTGGTGCAGCAGGTGTAGCCTTGTGGGCAGATTCGCAGGTGCTCCCCTAAAATGAGACAAAATGCAGTTAAATGGCCAGGTCTGCAAAAGGGAGAATTTAATGCTGGACAATCTCAGCCTAAAAATATCCCAGCTCCCTCGTAACCTGGATCTGCATCAGGTCTTTCTGACAAAATTACCACCTAATTTGAGTTCTTCCACTTTAATACAGTGCTTGGTATCAGTGCAGGCACAAATTTTCTCACTGTTGACTGCAAGGGAAGAAGAAGCAAGAAAAAAAATTTCATATATGGAGCAAGGAGAAGGGAAAGTTGCCTGCTCAAAGTCTGTCCTAGAATCCCAGAAGACATGGAAGTCTGATTAAATGACAGCTGTACTCATCAGACTTAATATGTACATCAGGACAGCCATTTGAAACTGCTTTGTAAGGAAAGAAAGAAACAGCAGCAAAGTGCTCCCTGCTCTACCAAATATAGCCTGAGAAGGCATTTCCTTAACCAGAGAGGCGAAGCTAGGGAGAAGTTTTCACGATACACAGATGTGATGAATGTCACTGGAATTTGGGTGGCTAATTCCCCTCCACATGTATTGAAATTTTCAGTGAAAAAATTATCTCCCAGAAAGAGACAAAACCACCCCAAAAAAGGTTGCTCTGAAAATCACTGATTGAAAATCACTCTTTGCTATAAGGAAGAACGGGAAAGGTAAGAGGATTCAGCAGGCAAATAAAAAAATTCTCCAGTATGGAGCTTCTCCTGCCCTCTGCAATTTCTTTACTGTGGAGAAGCAAGTGTTTGCACAAGCAAAGTCAGCAACATTTTAAAAATAATTGCTCAAGTTCTTATGAGTCCTTACAAAGACACATCCACCTGCAAACACACCCTATGTTTCTCTTTACCCAAGCAATAAGAATTCATTTGAATGAAATCAAACATTTATTAAACAAAATTAAATAAAATACCCCTCTTGTTCCAAGCATGTTCTGAGATAAACCAATTACCAAGCAGTTACCATGTTTAAGATAATTTGATTGGGATTGCCAGTGATTTTGCTGGCACTTTTATAGGACTGCTGTCTTAATGTCACAGCTGAGCCTAAACATCTTTAAAATTTTGTTTTACCTTGTGTGTCTAAACAGCTTCAAATCCTGAACCTGCACAGCCTCCAGAGTTTCCCGTTACAGTCCTTAGCTATTTCCAGTGTAAAGCTCTTGACAAACAGGTGGTAAAGGGTCTCTGAAACTGGACATGTGTCCTACCCTTGTGAAAGATATCTCATTAGCAGCCTAAGAGCAACTGGAGTGTTCTGTAGTTGATGTATTTTAGGCAGAAGCCATTCAGGATGAGTTTATATTTTGTTGGCCGTTGGATTCCTGCTCACAGATGAACCTTGAGCAACCTCTGCAGGGTGTGGGTTGAGCCTGCCCTTGGCAAACAGGTTACTATGGGCATCTGCACTGCCAGTCCTCCTGTCCACCTGACAGGAATTGCTGCTCACCAGCTTCTCTAGGAGAGAAACTCCCATCTCCAGCCTTGTGTTGTGCTCCCAGCTGAGAGGAGTGTCAGGGTGGTGTGTCCTGGGGGCTGCCCATCTCCCTTGGGACCCACTCTCTGTCCCCACCAGCGCCCAAAGCAGCAGGAAAAGCAGCAACTTGCTTCAATGTAAAACCTCAAGAGTCAAATATAAATATCATGTGGCTCCATGCCTGCCACACCAAAGGCAAGCTCAGTTCCAGGGCTTGCCTGAGCCTCTCCTTCCCTCATGAACTGGATTGTTCTGAGTCGTTCCTTGGGCTCCCTTCTGTAGAGCTGTATTTATCTGTACAGCGTCAGGGCTGCTGACATGTGACAGACAGGCAGGAAAAGGGAGCTGGAATTTTTTGACAAGACATGGCTTTGATTCCTGTCACGGCAAATTAAAAAAACCTTTTTCTTGTCCGGCTTTTTCCATCCTGTTTCTGCTGCCGCAGGATTTCTGGCAAGGATGGAAGTTTTGTGCACAGCAGTTTACTGTGGGATGCATCAGTCCATGAGGGCCTCGATGCCCTCAGGACAAAGCGAGGCCTTAACAGGGCCTGGCCTCTCTGAAAAGCCAATCAACAAAAAAATGGACCCCAGGGGATCCCAGAGGTTTTCAGAAGTGCCTTTACCTCCTCAGCTGATGGTGAATTCACCAGTTCACCAGCTGATGGTGAATTTTGATGGTGAGGTCCTGGCCATGCTCAGAGGCCTTGCACTCCCGCCATTTCCTCTGGGCGCCATTACCCAGCAGGGCTGGCAGGCTCAGGCAAAGCCTCCGACAGCCCTTTACAAGTGCCCAGCTTTGGGAAACTGAGTCAAATCAGAGGGAATCCTGGGGATCTCCGATTTCCCTGCCTGCTGCCAGGAGGATTCAGGCAGGATTCATGCCTGAAACTGGGAGAGCAAACATGGATGTCCCTGCAAGGAGACAGCAACGTGCTCACCAAAGCTGCCCTTGCGGCAGGCTCCCTGCACAGGCTGCAGAAACCAAGGGGGAAGCTGTGGGGATTGCCCCCAGCAGGAGAGGAGGGGAGGAAGAGCCCCGTGCCCGAGCTCCCTGAGGGACACTGAGGAGCAGCAGCGGTGAGAGCTGTGCTAATTAAAATGGGACACGTCCAGACAGACGCTCGGTGCACTCCCAGCCCGGGCGAGGCACAGCGTGTCTGAGCAGGATGGCTCCAACCCCGCTGTGACACCTCAGCCTCCGCACAACCGAGGGGGACAGGGGAAAAACAGGCAGAAAGCAGAGGGAAAAATCACACCCAGAGCTGAAATTGGTTGATTTTACACAACTTTGTGAATTGAATATAGAACTGTTTCCATTCTTGAACTCCGAGCAGTTTCAATCCCTTTTGGAGTAGCATTTATCTTAGCTTTCTGCAGGTGTTTGTAAGGTACTCAGCAGGTGTTTGTGTGGTGCTCAGCACCACCACACTCTATCTCAGTGGGAAGCAGAGTTTTCATCATTTATCTCTGTAACTCAAACTCAGCACAAACAGAACAGTCTTACAGCCCTGTGAACATGCTTTGCTTTCTTTGATTTTTAACCTGACCCACCCTGGAAACATTCACTATTATTATTTAACCTTTTTCTATTGATTCCAAAATAAATGTGTTCCAGAGCATATTTTGGTTCTCCTTATATTTCAAAGTCCCTTTGTTTGCCAACCTGCCTTTGTCCTATTGCTGAAGCTTGCACTATAAATATCCCTGGGTTCACTTGGCAGGAGACATCTGCAGGTACCTACAGCGAGCCAGAGGTGTTTTAGAGGAGTAAATCTCCATGATGCAGGACACAGGGTGTGTCCTCTGCCCGCTGCTGTGCCACTCAAGTTCTCCCTGTGTACAGCTGACCTGTTGCTCACCACTTGCTGGACAGCACGTGCTCCCACCCCTGCAAGAGCTTTGCAGAAAGCAGAAAGGCATGGCAAAAGCAAACTGGAAGCAAAGGGAGGGCTGCTCAAATCTCCTTGAGGATGACAGATGTGCTTCCAGTGACCAAGAACAGTTCTGGGTGACACCCAGAGAACCCGGGATTTACAACACATCTGTAAGTAAGAGAAGATGCATCTTGAGATGCTCTGAAAACAATCAGCTTGCCCAAACCTTCCACAGTCACGGTGGTTCAATCTGGGTCTCCCTGGAAGAGCCAGCTGTCCTGCAAAAGCTGCTGAAGCCAGGGTGGGATGTAACCCACCAACTGCATGGTCCCTTGGAAATGGAAACAGGGTAGAGCAGGCAGGAAAACAGCATCAAGCAATTATCACATTTATGATTAACTGTCCTGGAATGGAAAAATGGAAAAATCAGGAGGCTGACGACAAGAGAATATCCCACTGCATAGCTACAGGCTTGGATTGTCCTTGAAACACCCTCTCAAGCTGGCTGGGTTAGCAGATCACTTTGGCTATCAAATTCATTACTGCACTTCAGAGTGCTGAATATTAAATCACTTGACCACTTCCCACTTAGGGATGGAGTTAGGCCCAGGGTCCCTGCAGGGGAATAGCCCTGCCCACAGCCACCACTAGCAGGAGCTGAGACAGGGCTCAGCTTCCAGCTTCTTCTGCCATGTGCTCCAGTCTGTCTGCCCTGCCCACACGGGCTCCCTGGGCTGCCTGCCACGGGCTGTGTGCTGTAACACACAGGAGCCCAGCTAGCTGTGCCCAGGAAAGCTCTCCAGCTGCTCACTGCTCCTGCCTTTCACCCCACTAGGAGGCTGTGGAAACAAGACAGAAGGGCAGTCCCAGCGGTGCAAAATGCAATACTGAGAGAAGAGTCCTTGGCTCCTTTAGCCATGTAAATGGTGCTATTTCTATCCCTCTGACAGGATGTTGGAGATTGAATTAATTACAATGTTTGCAGAAGGTTTGGGGTTATGTGGCTGTGTCGGAGTATCTAAATGCAAATTATTACAAAATAATTCCTCCCAGAGGTTAATTTATTTCAGGCTGTGATAAATCCATCATAATTCTTCCCTCATATTTGTAACCCTCCTCCCACTCGCTCTCCAAAATGTTCCAACAGCTCATTTCATGCTCCTAGCCTCAGTCCAGCCCCCCATGCCAGGAATGACTCCAGCCCAAGCTCCCTCTTGGGGGGTTTCTGGGTGGACATGTCTCAGGCAATCAGGCCTGCTGAAGTGCAAGGCATGCCAGGCATGGCAGGGATGTCAGGACACAGCCCCTGGCCAGGTACAGCCAGAGAGCCTGAGAGCACCTGGCAGCTGAGGAGCTCCAGTCCTCTCCTACTGTCCCTGGTAGGCACTACTGTTCTGCTGGCCTCTCCCTCTTCACACCTAAATCCCATCCAGGCTAATGAGCATCACAGCCAGGAACTGTGGACAAAACAGTGTAGTGTAGAATACAGGTTCTCTTTTTTTTTTTTTTTTTTAAAAACCATGTCAGAGTGTCTACAGCTGATGCAAAATGAGCCTGAAGGTGGTACAGATGTTAAAAATACCTTGCAAAGAGATAGTGCAATGAAAGTAAATTCCTTTCCTTATGCCTCCCAGCTTTTCCCGCTT